CCATCACAAAATGACAGCTGCAGGTATAGAAGAATTAGTAAGCATGCTCGCAGTAAGAACACAGGATAGTCGCCATACTGGCAACGCGATACTGGCAGGGATATAGAACATCTGCACAGAGTGCTGCACAGCAAGAATGGCGATTGTATCAACGCAGCTTGAAGTGGTTAGACGGTTAGCCGTACATTAGGTAGTACTTGGACCTTTTAGGCTGAACAAGTTCCAAAACACCTAATGGCTTTGCGAGCAGGATGGATAGCATGATAGACTTTAACCTTCTCCTTGAGTTCGAACTTCATACTACATCATCCGTATTTCAAGGGATCGTGACAACGTCGCAGTTTCAGCGCTCAGGTCTGGAGACGTCAGAGCTTGTTTTAGCCTTGTTGTTCTTTTTGTTGCTGTGTAAGAGGTGTATCGTTTGATCTGTTCCAGGTTACTGCGGGCTGGAGTGCGACAAGCATTAGAAAGGTTTAAAGCTATTCATGCGTAGAAGTACTGAAGTACCACTTTGGATTGGCCAATGGTCAAGCTGCTCGGAGTAGATACATGCATCCATTTCTGTGCAGTGGGGGGATGATGAAATTTCAGCACTTCAGACCTCAAGCTGGTAATCCTAGTCGCAGCTGACTTCCAAGCTGGACAGGTCTTATTAAGACTTGTTCTTTTCTGCCCTCCTACGCAACCCCAAGACCAGAATCGCTCAGTTCAAGAAGTTATCCTAAGATGCATGCCGCCACATGGAGATAGATAGTCTCGCTGCACAGAAACCAACCACACTAGGAAACTGCCAAGGCTCGTTCTTGGGACTGTTTGTGGACTCCGTGGGTTGCAGCGTGGCGCCCAGTTCTGACGGTTTTTGGTTTCTGCCCTGATCCCCTTTGGCTAGAAGATGAATTTGGTAACCCCACCCCCTCAAATTGGGGACCTAAGGGTTGGGGCTACCAAAGTCCACGTACTGAAGGCCACAAGAAGTGGAGGCCCAAATAAGCTGCTGTATCTGCTGTTGGTTTCCTGTTTCGGAACCTCGTGGGCACCTCGGCAGATGGGATGATTTAGATTTGCTGGGCTTGGCTGGATGGCAACCTTATGGGGTGATCAGATTGCAAGATAAGCAGGGCTGAGGGGCTGAGGCCAGGGGAAGAGCTAGCTGTGCAGCTTCAGTCGTCGGGCAGTGTCAGCTTGTGGGCCTTCATAGGCATTCTTTTCTAGATCCCTGTTGTGCTCAGCACTGACAGAAAGCAGGGTCACAATCCAAGTGGCAAATTACCCTGACAACCCCCCACGAAAATAAGAAGGAGGCATGGAACTGAACAACGACAAGACTTTTGCTGATATATGCTGACTCGTTTTCACGGATGGCCTCCAAAAGAAAGTCTAGCAGGCTCCCCGAAGAAAGGCACAAGCCCCTTGTAGAAGATATCAAACATTCCCTACCTAATCATAATAAGAACCCGACCTAGACCTTCAGCAACTCCGCTTGGACATGCCCCCATCCTTGACGCACATCCGACCGGCCAAGATACAATTATGTAAGTCAGATGACCAAGGATGAGATACATGACACGAACGCGCTGTGCCCCATCTGTTTGCGGACCTTTTCAGAAAGCCTCCGAATCTGGGAACACAAGCCCACATGAACAGCCTCAGTGAAGTGTCGGCTGAGGACCCTGCTTCGAAGGTGTTCTTGCGAGAGTTCTTTGGCTAAAGTTGGGACATTGGCCTGAAGAGATAAGACGATATTGTACTGCTTGTGTTTTGGCTATGGATCATTGCCATCACTCTGATTGCGCGATGGCTCGCCCTCAAGAGCCCGGAACGCAGAGACGCAGACAACAGACTGGATCCATGTACTCGGGCGAGCCTTTTTCCGTGCTGCTACTACATGTCTAAGCCTTTCCTGACGCCATCTCCCCAAGCCCTTGCCTGGCTTGAGGCACGTATGAAAGTTGAGCCTCCTGTACTATACGCCCCAGACCTTCAACCCGCTGAAGACCCCGAAGCCCCAGACCTGCAAACCGACAAGCTTTTAAACCCCAAGCAAAACACTTTCCTTCACTCTTGCTCTGGTAGCTGCCAGCCCCCAGACACGATTTTAGTCACCACTATAGAGTGCTATTGTTTGGCATCTGTATCTTCACATTCTAGCCTGCATTGTCCATTTCGGCTTGGAAAGCCCCGCGCGTCGATTATGCGAAGTCGCACCTGTTCATTTCAGCCAGCCCATGGTTTTGACATTGTCCCTTTTCTGCCCACATTGAAATTAAATGTGACTGGTCGCTCTTACGCCTTCCTCCCCTGCCACCTAAACATCCGTTCACACACAGAAACGGAGGAGATCCAAAGCAACCGTTGCCTTCCCCTCAATGAAGTCCGCTGAGGCGGACCGTCTCCACGCACTCAGCGAGCCGCCCCGCCGCGGCTGCACTGCGGAGATGGTGCTCGGATACTACTGGTATATGGCTCGTGTCCATGATTTCAGGGATAATGGCTTTCGGGCATGGCTGGTTTAAGGTTAGGGGTTTGTGGATCTTTGTTTGGGGGTGATGCGTCTTCAGCTTTGGGGACGGTTTTGGGTGTATGGTTTGAGGGTTTAGGGTTGACGGGTTACCTTTTGCTCTACCTCACAGCTGAACCGCAGATACCGCAAGCCCTCAGACAGCTGGAATGTAGGGTACTTGCACTCATGCATGACCTCATTCAACAACGTTGGCAAGCTCTGAATTTGCTTTCTGATCTTTGTCGTACTTGCACTCTGGCTTTCTTGGTTGTTGTCGTCCTTGTCCTTCTTGGCATGTGTCGCGGTCTTTGTTGTCGTCTTTGCAGCTAATATCAAAATATATCAAAAGTCTAGGCCTAGAGGGCATCTCCCTCTATGCTGTCACAGCACTGTCAGTGTTGCTAGCATTGGGGTCAAGGGGCGATTGACTTAAGTTCAGCTGCTTCAAGGAATCTTTTCCCGACATGCCAGACCTGCGCAACGGACACCCCCCCGTCAGCTTACTTTCATTTGAGGTGCGATCGTCAATCTTCCAGTTCGCTCGGCGCCCAAGTGCACACGACGAGAACATGGTTTAAGGGGCGTTTAGATTGGGTGGCTTTCCTTTCTGGTGGGCATCGTGATGTCGAGGGTTGCAGGGTTGTACCCCTAAGGTCGTATCCCGTGTCCCCAAAACGTCTCCCCACAAATGATCTCAACATCGCCTGTACATGAACCAATGTAGTCCGTGAGGGATGCTCAAAAAGGGGCCTTAGCCTCAGAACCAGGTGTGCTTACAGCCTGGGAAATACATGGGTACAACCCTGAAACTGTTGATTTGACTGGACTTGAGCCCAGGCAGTTGTAGTTATGTCCAGGAAAGGAAGACTGTTGCCTGGGTCATGTTAGCGCGCAGCCAGACTTTGATAATCAGATCTATTTTTGGCATGTTTCCTGGGGACTGCAAGGCACAGTCGTGATTCTGTTTTGGCCTGTGGTTGACTGGTTGATGGAGTGCTTTGCATGGGCAAATGGGGTCAGCTTATGCCGACCTGTAGGGTTTCGGGCTTAAGGTTAAGGGTGATGCAGATTTCTCGACGATTGGTGGCAGCGCAGGCAATGCATGAAAATAGGGCATGCATGTCCTTCCTAGAGGAACTGTTGCAGTATCGATAGGTTTGGGAACAGGCACTACCAGGCATGCATGTCAGCTTGATCTGCTGAAGCTTCCTATATAATCCCAGTTTCCATTTCATTTTCCATTTTCTTTTCCATGTGATTCTCGATTTCAGGGCCCTAAACCCATAATATCCCCCCCAAAAACACTATGTAAGCTGTACCTCGCCAGGTCACAACCATGGTCATCCTGGCTAACTGCGTCACGCTTCTCATTTCGGCGACGCCTGGGCTCAGACTGTCATGGCCTTTGCCAAACATGCCAAAATTTAGTCCTAGATAGCCATACTGTTTAGGGTTTAGGGTTTAGGGAGTTTGGGGTAAGACCACGTGTGGATGTATATGCTCGGAGCAGATTCAGAATTTGGGCAGGCAATGCTCAGCTATAATTTAGCAGTGTTTTTTTTGCAGCAGCTTCTCAAGAGCAGTATTGCTACCTGTGGTCATTGTTGGTTTATGAAGCTGGGACGGGACCTGCTTCATGTACTGTAGCAACTATTGATGATAGAGTTATGGTTGTCAGATGATTGTTGCCATCAGTCCCGTGCAGTTGGCATCACTACCAAGAACGTTTGGTGTCGCATGTTTGGACTTGCCTTCAGTGAGCTCACAGATTGAACGGCAGATTGATTTTTCTGCGCGGTCCCACTGGAAGCGGTCGTGTGGACTGTTGCCGACTTATTGGAGATGTTGGATCGAGATCCCACTTGTGCAGAAGAGAAGGAGAAGAATGGCTTGTTTCTTGTAACCACACAGCCGGCAGTTCTCACATGACCCACTTTGAAGATCAGGCCTGCTCGAACCCATGAGGCCCCCTTGCATTCGACTTATGAGAGCAACAGCCGGACCATGCCGGACCCAACTCAGGTTCATGGGTAGTTAGGAGTGGGACTAGGCTGAGGAGAAGTACTTTGAATCTCTCGTGCTCCAAGCATGCTATCAATCTTGCTCTTGCTTCAGCTACCAAAAGCTGGTGACAAGGACAAAACACAAGGGACATGCTGCCAATACTTGTAAGAGCTGTAGCTAGTTCAACCTTCTGAATTTGGAATTTTCGCATGAAACAACTTCAAGCGTTGAAAGCGACAATCTGCCTCCAGCTGCAAAAGTTTGTTGTATGGCTGGAAGATTGGAAGGCTCTTCCCGAGGAACGCGAGTAACTCTGTCCCAAGTTCTGCAACAAAGCTTATGCACCAGATATCATGTTAGAGAGAAGCAGAAGTAAGCCAAGAGATGTGAGTTGGGCTGAGGATGGAGGCACTGGCATGCCCCCCACACCTACCTCAATGAGCAGGGCTAAACCAAGCCCCAAGACTCGAAGACTTCTTCACGAAGGAATTGGGCTATGGTGAACCAGAGCTTCAACATTCCCGAAGAGCTGCGCATGCTAGACCTGGGCTTCACCATATTCTACGCTTCTTGCTTGAAAGATGACACTGCGGGTTTTTCCTCCATGCCTTCAACCATTTCTTGTGAGGAAAGATCGATGAGCACTTGTAGTGCACGTCTGTCTTCTGAGAAGTTGTGCTTGCAAACGCCACCTGCCAGCTATTGCGAATCGGTGAATTGATATGAATGTTGCGCTCCTACCGTCAGAACGGAGCATCTGGTATCTAGTGTATCCCGGAGCTTGAGAACTGCAAAGCAACCCTCAGAACGTTTGGCAGGGCAGGGCAGATGCCTAGAAGTTTAACTCAGGAGATGAGCACGACCAGTGTGCGCTTATAAGTGGTGCCCATCCCAGGGCTGGTCCACTTTGTACACCAACCCAAACAAAAGGGCATGTTCTAAAGGTATAACTATTACTGTTACTATTAGAATTACAGCTTCTCCCCACCAGTGAGACCCTCCTTCATCCTTTCAGGTAGTGGAATTGCTTTTGAAGCGTCTTGGTTGCATGAGCTGGGTTGCCGGGATATGCTAGGTTCTGGGAATATGTAGGGGGACCCCAATATAGACCCCAACATAAACTATGATCCTTCTTGTGGGTTCCTCCAAAATGGTACCCCTAATTTTGTGAAAGCCCTTTTCCAGGACTGGCAATCCTGCTGGAGTTCAGGGTTTTCGCTCGTTCAGGCAAAGGACCCTTACTTTTCAGATTTCAGAATGCTCATTCTACACCAGGGGGTTCCAAAGTTGTGGTAGGCTTGGTGGCATTAGACGACACCATCAAGCACTCTCCTCCCAAAGATTGAGCCATGTTGCTCAATACCTGCCAGGACTTCCCCAGGCCTCGCATTGCTTCTTTGGGCCTTTGAATTGTAGGAGGCCTCCACCATGCAGAGACACAGTGCTTCTGGCATGGCATCAAGGTTTTATGTCCACCGGCTCTTTTTTTTCTGGCGGGACGACTGGAAATGGAACGTGTTCGCTGCTTGGCTTGTTTGAAAGGTACTGAGGATGCCTGGTTCTGCAATACAGGTCCTTGGTGCCGCAAAAAGACTCACAAGACATATCAATCTACAAAGGACGCACAAGAATCCTGTGGGTAAAAGATTCCCCTGCAAGCTCAGAATTTGCAGATGCTGTTGCATTAGCCTTGATTTGTTCAGCTGTGCCATCCTCAGACCTTGCAGGGATAGACTTCAGCTGTGATTGCGGGGACACCTGGTGGTTAATGCGTCTTTTTCTTCATATACGTATCAATAAAAAATCATATATGAATGTGTATATACATATATGTGGGCAAAGGCGGTCTCCTCCCAAAATGGGGCAACCAGTTCCATTGACAAACGACGAGGTCTTGCGAAAATGGATTGACCTATGCCCTGAACCCTAGCTACACAATCGTAGATCAACCTGCAAAACAAATACTCGTCATATTCCCCGCTCGTCCGGCATTCAACCCCATAGCTCGGCTTCCAAGCGCATTCATGGACTGGAAAGTCTAGCTTGAATTTTACAACAACTTTACCTCTTTATAACTTTGAGCTTCCTCTGTTTCACAGGGGGGCAAAAACTTACACTTTTGGCGCGGGGTCAATGAAAAAACCTAGAAGTGTTTTCCAATACGCCTGAATCCACTAGACCGGTCCGGTAGTTAGCGGAGCCTCTTCTTTACTTGATCCATGCCCTGTTCCGTGGTGCTGCTAGCTACCAGTCATTTCCGCTCCACGACGAGAGCTTACAGCTTTTTCTGCCTGAGCATAAGTTCTGCATGATGTCTGGTACTGAGTACGAATTGGCGAAATTTGATCAAGGGGATATGCAGGGGAATTGCTAGAGGGCTGGCACCGTCCTTACCAAGACAAGCTTCCATGGTACTTGGCATTTCTGAAGCTAGAGGACCATTCGGCAGGATTCCTGACTGACCTCAATTTACCGGGGAGCACAGGTGCGTCGAATCCTAGCTAGGGCTCAGTGCGGATCTTTCTTGGGTGTCAGAAAGCGCCTTGCACCTCACAGCCTCAGGCTAGGCAAAAGGGAGGAGAGATAAGATTTTGGTTGCTAAGCTGCGGAGGATCTCATCCTGGTTTCCATGGCAGTGCAGGAGCAGGTGGTGGAATTCCTGATTCACAACGAGGTGGGCTGTTGGTCTTCAGGCTGTTCTGTATGATCCAGGGCCAGCTGCCGAAGTCTTTGTTAGGTGTTCCTCAGCGTTTCTGACTGTCAGAGCATGCCCTCTTCTCAACATGGCCATAGCTTCGTGAGGAATTGTAAGCAGCCGCGCATTTTGGATCTGGCCCGTGTAAAGCCTGAAGAACCCTTCCAAGATGTTAATTAAGCCGAAGTCTTGTGTATCCTTTTTTGACATGCGCTTCATGATGTGCTGTACTCAAACGGGGCGTTTTCAAAGCGTGGCCAAATCATGAAGCCCCAGGCTGTTAAGCGCGGCAGTCTACAATGCTTGGAGCAGTATACCCTAATTCAAACATGACACTCAAGGCTGCTGTGGAACAGAAGCCTCGTACAATCGTCAGACTCCCCAACAGGCCGGATCCGTCACGCGCTTTTCGTACATGCGCTCCCTGCGCGTAGTGCGCGTCTCGAGGATACTGCGCCTGATCTTTGGCTGCAGAGGATGTAGCCCTGCAAACTTTCAGCCGTGAGGTGGTCCGTTTGTGACCTCAGCTGACCTGATCTTGCGAGTCGTGCTTTGGGGTTCCTTGTATTGTTGCCCTCTTGCCTGGCAGCATGTGAAGCAAGAGTAGTTGCTTTGTTGACAGTGGTCACAATGATACAGATAGCAGGGCTTAAGGACGTTAAGAGGCGCTTGTTGTGATTTTGGACGTCAGGGTTCCCGCGCAGCTGCAGAGCTCTTGGTGTGCCTGCCAGGAACCCTGACAACTCTACCATGTCGAGCCTTATGAGGGATGGTTGAAAGGATTCAGAGCGCACCTTTGAGGCAGACGTAAGATGATGATCGATCCAGGGTAGGCCCAGCTGGCGGTCTGCCCCAAGAAAGGCGCCATTTATTGGATCAAACTCTAAAACCCTAAACTCCATACCATAAGCCGTTTACAGTAGACGTATTTGTCCGTAGGACTTTTGAAGCGCATAAGTCGTGCACGAAAGCAGCACACGTGTATATATATATATACACATATGTATATGTATACACATACATATAGAAACGACATTTGCGTTGCTAGCATCGCAGGCCCAAGGGCAAAGTCTTGGGAATGTGAGGTTGAGAGCTATCCGGGTGATCCGAGAACTTCGGATGATGGTCTTCTCCATCATCAGCTCCTTCGCGGCTCTTTTCTGGTGTCTTTGCCATCAAAGGAGTAGAGCTCCAAGGAATGTAACAAAAAGCTTTTGGGAGAAGAAGGCGCTGGTCTATTTCAGCTTTAAAGCCACTGGCAACGCACAAAATGAAATTTCACGTCAGTCGGGCATGCAGCGCCAAAGCAGTTCTCAAGGCAAATCCAGTACTTCTGCCACTACTATCATTGTCATTGCCCTGACCCTTGTTGCTGGCAATTGTTGTCTAGTATCATCATGCTACTGATAATGGCAACATGATGTGTTGACCAGTTCGTGGTGAGGTGTCCTCATTTCATTGGTGATTTGCGTCTTCGCCCTCTTCTTCCTTCAGATTTGCACTGACTATTTGATTGTGGAGCGTGACTCCATTCCTGACAACGTTTACACGGAGTTTCTGGAGTTCTTCGGGTCCCTGGACAGGACGATGCCACCGGGCTTTGTTTGGCTTCTGGTGTGAGGCATGATAAGCAGCAGCATGTGAATGGCGTCTCAACAGTACTTCCGACAACTTGTTAGACAATTGAGAATGGTCTTTCCCCAAATTTAGATTCAGGATAAGATTGGGTCTTAGGCTAAAGGTTAAAAGCGTTGTTACTTAATTATGGGACGTACAACTCCAATATGTTGTGCCAAGGTCGATTCAAGACAACATTGAGCATCAGCATTTATGCGTTAGTGACAGGGATGGTCGGGCTGCTTGCTCATGCCATCTTTTGAACGATCCCCGTGTTCACAGCCCATTGATTTTATTTGACATCTTCACAACCCTGGGGCAAAAAAAATCCTTGCGGGAGAACAATGACTAGCTTTCGGCCCGAACCCTCAAACACAAAGCTCTGAAACCTTGAGCCTTGAGGCCAATCAAGCAAGCCTGTTTCGTTTTGAAGCCCCCCGCAGACACGTAGTATCTTTTCGGAATCTTTGCATGACAGGCGCACCCGCAGCTCACATAGCTTGAGCCAGGAACTTTTCCTTTCACTTGTTTGGGACTCATAGCAGGAAGCTACTACGTTGCAATACCTCCCAAAGCCTAAGCCCAGGAAGACTTTGTACTTGGCAACCACCGGGGGCTATGACTGGGCGGCGTCTCTTGAACTGCCACGCAGCCGCCTTAAAGTAAGGCGTTGCCGTTTAGGTGACATGTTCTGGCAGTTTCAACTTTTATCGGCTATCATATTATATCAGGGGTTCCACATAGTCGGGTCTGTTGGAAGCAACGTTTCTGGATGTTGACGTCTCTGGGTGTTTTATGTTTCGGGTGTTTGTGAAACGGCCGCCAATGTGAACCCTTTAGTTACGAATGGTGCTTGTGGTGCTGTAGTTCTCGTAGTTCTGGGAACCATCTAGCCAGTAAGGTGCAGGAATCTAGCTAGTGAGGCGATGAAATCTAGCGAGCACCTCTGACTATGTGAGCCCTTGGGAGGAAGCACATAAATACATAATATACTTTTGGACATACATGCATAGGCGACTTAGACGGGGATGAGGATGCTGAAAGTTCTGGGTTCAGAATAGGCTTCAGAGCATGGGGATTTGTCGAAATGAAGGGTGTCTTCAGGGATTACTAAGGGAAGGGATACCCTTCTTTCGGGGTACAAGCGGGACGCCCGTTTTGAGAAATGCTGGTTTGGAATTCCAAGTTTCTAGGGTTCACAATGGGATAAAAAAAATCCAGGATGTGGCGCGCAAAAGCCTGAAAGATCCCATTTCTGGTCACCAAATCTTTGCCGTGGGTCCTGAAAGCATGGAAGCGCTCGTTGCAGCCCACATGAGAATTCAGAGCACGGGCGCCTAGGGAAGGCAAGGAATCTAAGCACCCTGAGCCACATGTGAAGGCAATCAAGTGCTATCTATCTGGGCGGGCTTTCTGCAAAAACCTGGTGTAGCCCCCACCAGCCAGCAACGATAAGAATGTTCTAGCCTGGCTTGTGTGTTCGGACAAATGTAGTAGACCCTACCGCGCTCATGAGGTGTATACTCATCCTCACCGTACCATGTTTTCAGTATTCACGCCCTGTGTGAATTTGACACCCTGAGAGGAGCCCTAAGCCCAGGTAAGGACAAGTGTTTCTGTTTTTGGCCTTGGGGCTTCTGGGGCATACATACCCAACTTATCCCTTCGGAGCCCATAGAAAGGATCCCAAGGCCAGAAGCCATCGATTCTCACTGCCGTAGACCCTAAACCCACATAACCGTAACGTGAATTCCTAAAGCATCCTGCAGCACACTGTATACCCAGTCTCGAGCGCGTGCCTGGTGGAGCGGGAGCTTGGGCTTGGCTCTTCTATATAGCCACGCGGTTAACGATGAGGTTTTCGGGTTATGTGCTTAGGATTATGGAAATTGGGTCTAGTACTGTGCTGATTTGGTCCTTTGGGTTTGGGATCAGAGTCTAGTGAGCTGGAGTTTTCAGAGCTTAGGGTGTAGGGCTCATGGCGTTCACTGACACAAACGTAGTACAGTTTCTTCTGACAGATCGCACAGAGCCCAGGCCCAGATTCAGATACAAAAGAGGACGTCTTGAACTTAGCTAGGCTAGAGGTTGGAAGAAGTCTTGGGTGTTGGGCGAGGCTTGGCATCTTGACTTAGGTTTCGCAAGCGCAGTGGCGTTTATGGAATCCTTCCACTCAGCAGTAATTAAGCCGCTCGACCCTCGAAAGTCCTTCCAAGCGGCGTAGCGGGCGCGGTTTGTGGGGGGCTTTGATTAGGTGTGGCATATTGGATGCTTGTTTGAACTCAGTCTTCCCAAACACCCACGGCCACACCAGGCGGAGTCTGTGTTCAAGTTCGAGACTATTACCCATTCCTATCTGTGAAGGGTCACACATATGGGCAACAAAAATGAGAGTGTCTGAACAGACGTGGCCATAGGCTTGTTTGGGCAGTTGCGAAGACATACTAGCACGATCGTGGAATTCGGGCAAGGGAGGCTCCGAACCGAGCCTTGACCAGAAACCTCATGAATGCAAGCGCCAACTCCAAAGTGTGCGTGTATAGGCAGACGAGTAACCATACGTAGCAACAGATTGGGTAGACACCGAAAGAAAACTAAGCATGATAAGGATGCCGGGAGATGTGAGCTCCAGGCTTTATTAGGAGCCATGCAGCAGCGAATCTAGAAACAAGCCCTTCGACACTCGTCTACCATCAGAAGCCGGGGCGACCAGCAAAGTACATGTTAACAAGAGCCGAGCAGGACGATGAAAATATCCATACCTCATCCTGTGGCGGGGATCTTCATTCATTTGTCAAATGCTCGTGGGGCGTAGTCCATGATCTTCAATGCCTACGTGTTCTTGTAAGGCTCACCGCAAAACCTCAACTCCTAAGCCGTAACATGCAGTCTAACGGCCGCACTGTCCTTGGGACTCAGGCCTTCTTCCACTTTGCGTTGTTCAATGCAACCCGGCTGTTGGAGGGTCCGGGGCCTTCATGCTGACGTTGGGCTTACAAGTGGCCACTCTTATACCATCTTTACTAGCTGAAACTGTTTGGTACGCGTAGGCCAAGTTGGCGAAGCTGCCGCTAATGCTGGTGCTGGTGCTGCTGCTACTAGTACTGCTAGTTGTGATGACCCCCCCCCAAAATCAAGGCCAAAAGCAAGCGAGCGAGTTTTTCTACAACATCCGATGCAGTAATGCCCCGCTTCAATTTGAGAGTAGCAGCTGCTGCTGCTGCTGCTGCTGCTGCTGGCGGCCATTGTTGCAACGGCGGCAGTACTTGCCCTTGTCTCATTACTAGCCCTACAGTACCACCACCGCCGGCAGTTACTGCCACTGCTGCCGCCATGACCACCACAGCAGCGGTTGCTGCGACCAACGACAATTTCTGCTCTGCGCCTTCACATGCTTTCACCAGTGCCATTCTGCACCCTCAGCCCCATTCCCTTAAGCCTTGCATCCATCCTTTACACACACAAGAGTCTTAACGCATAGGCTGGAAAGTAGGTCCGCACTCAATGCGCCCATGCTGAGCCAGGTGCTCACCGGCATGTTTGTGGATCACGCTATGAAGTGGTCGCAAAGCGATAACCAGAAACTTGGTTAATTTGGCCTGGACAGGCTCCATGAGTTGCATCGGTTGGAAAGCTTGGCTTAATCTAATCCAAGACAAAGTTCCTACACATGCCACGCTGTTTAGCCTTGCACTTTCTACGATTACCTGCGTCAGGTTGCAGAACTAGGCTGGGTTCGTTCAAGATACGGGTTGTTCTTTCTGTGGGGAGGTGGATTCTACCCATCAGTGGTGCGGTGGTCTCTTCGCGACAATCGCAAACTCCGATTCATTAATGCTAGACACCTTCGTTACATCCTGAAATTCCTTGCCCGCCAAGTATTCGGTCAAACTTGCAAAACGCTGTAAATGCATTTGAGCAAGCACACCTCCAGAAACTTTCAAAAACATACCGGCCCACATAATTCCCAAAGTCCAATAAGCCCCTATAGTGCCCCAATGACCCCCTGTGACATCAAGACCATTTGGGTGGTTGTCAAAATTATGGTCCCTTTTTGGATCCCTATTATAATACGGCCCCTAATCTTTAGGGTACCCAAAAAGGGAGCAGAATTTTGACAACCACCCATATATAACCCACATATAGTCATTATATAACCCCTATATCCCTAGGTAGTCCTCCATATTAACCCCCATAAGCTAATTTTGACAACTACCCATATAACTCAGAATAGTAGTTTCCATTTTCTTTTCCATTATCTCCATATAACCCCAAAATAACCCCAATATAACCCTAATACAACCCCAATATAACCCTAATATAACCCCAATATAACCCTATTATAACCCCAATATAACCCTAATGTAACCCTAATTTAACCC